TAACCATGAACCTTTTCAGTTCCAACATACATCATATATTTCCTACCCCTCAAATGTCTTACCCATATGTTAATGTTGTTTCACAGAATACAAGTTCCCAATCTTATTAGTCGTGACCTTACCAACCTGCTCCGCCTACTTTTCCCATAACACCACCCATGAGATCACCCCAACATTGGAACCAAAATTCGAATCCCAACCAAATAAGACCCCAAAACAATCAAGAAAGGAAGCAAGTTCAATTTGACCCAATCCCCATGTCCTACACTGAGTTACTACCTCACCTATTCCAAAGTTTATTAGTTGTATCATGTCCAATGAAACATGTAGAACCGCCCTATCCAAGAGGATATGACCCAAATGCTAAGTGTGAATATCATGCTGGTGGCATTGGTCATTCGACAGAGAACTGTAGGGCTTTAAAGTTCAAGGTGCAAGACTTAATTAATGCCAAATGGTTGAATTTCAAGGAGGACAATCCTAACATTAAGAGTAATCCCCTACCTGGGCATGGAGGATCATCGATAAATGTCGTTGAGGAAGAGTATGCACTTGTTTTAAAGAGGAAAGTTGAAGATGTTACCACTCCTCTTAAGGTTATTTTTGCTGAGTTGTGTAAGGCTGACTTGATCAAGGGTTTTGTACATGAAAGAGATATGGGTGATTTGCACCCTGATGCAGACCACTCCATTGAAGATTGTGAAGAATTCAAGCATATTCTACAAACACTGATGGACAAGCATTTGGTCCAAATTGGGCACCCTAAGGAGAAAAATGAAGTTTTGATTGTTGATGGACAATCCTCAGCTTTCCCGAAACCCTTGGTCATTCATTACACCAAATGTATGAATACCCCAACTACCAATGGACCTAGACCCATCACTATACAAGTACCGGCTCCATTCCCTTACAAGGACAACAAAGCAGTACCATGGAAGGATGATGCAGGGGTTTATGTCAGCAATTTTAAGGAAAACCAAACACAAGGTGTCAATTATGATACTCTCGCCGTCTCAAACATTGCTGGTGTTGGCGGGATGACCCGCAGTGGTCGTATTTATACACTTGAGGAGTTGAGAAAAGAGTGAGCAAAAGAGATAGAGAGATCCTCGAAGGGGAAGGAAAAATTGGGCGAGTTTGAAGATGCTGACGAAGAAAAAATGCTAGAAATAAAGAAAGCAGTGTCTCATGAAGAAGCCTATGAGTTCTTGAAGTTTATTTGTCAAAATGAGTATCAAGTTGTGGAATAGTTAAACAGAACTCCAGCCAGAATATCTCTCTTATCCCTATTACTAAACTTTGAGCCACATAGGAGGACTCTTTTAAAGGTGTTAAATGAGGCTCATGTCAGCCATGATATCACTACCGAAAAATTTAAAGGCATTGTTGGTAATATTGTTTCAAACAATTATCTCACCTTTACTAATGATGAGATACCTGCCGAAGGAATGAGGCATAATAAGGCACTGCATATTTCTATGAAATGTCGAGATCATATTATTGCTAGGGTGCTTATTGATAATGGGTCTTCTTTGAATGTGATGCCAAAAGCAACATTGTCAAAATTGCCTTGTGATGGGTCGCATATGAAACCCAGTCCCATGATAGTAAGAGCCTTTGATGGAACAAAGAGAGAGGTCATTGGAGAAATTGAGGTTCCAATTCAAATTGGTCCTTGTACCTTTCATATTTTGTTTCAAGTAATGGACATCGCACCAGCTTATAGCTGTATTCTGGGGAGGCCTTGGATTCATTCTGCTAGAGTTGTACCATCCACATTGCATAAGAAATTGAAATTTATTATTGATAATAAGTTGGTGATTGTCTCTAGTGAAGAAGATGTGTTGGTGAGTAAGCCTTCGTCCACTCCTTATATTAAAGCTGCTGAAGAAGCTCTAGAGACCTCTTTTCAGGCTTTAGAGATTGCGAATGCTACTTATGTTGGAGAGGGAGCTCCAATCTTAAAGCCTCGATTGTCTAATACATCCATAATGACTGCTAAAGTCATGCTTAATGGAGGTTGTCAGTATGGATACATGTTAGGCCAAGTCATATTGAAAGCAACAAACTGATTACAGCTCAATGAGAATAAGGATAGATTTAGGTTGGGATACACGCCCACTAAAGCTAATAAGAGAAGAGTCATGGAGGAAAAGAAAGAAAGAAGATTAGCCAGGTTGGAAGGTTGGGAGCCTAAGACTGAAGGGGTCCCCATTTGTGATCTTTTGAAAAGATTCTACAGTGCTGGATTTGAGTTTTAAGACTCAGTGGCTGTTGTTGATGAAGATGTACCTGGAGAAGAGGTTGTGAACCTAGTTCGCATTTGTCCACTGAACACAGAATTTGGCAATTGGGAGATCATCGAACTTTCCGTGATTTTTAATGCCTACTCAAAGTAATCATTGAAGCTAATCCTATTGTTTTGTCCCAAAGCTTTAGGATGTCATTACTTTTTGTAATTTAAAATATTAGTTTGTTTTGTAAGTTGGGACACATGTTTCCTTTTAAGTATATATTCAAATGAAATGCAATTCAAATTCTCAGCAACCTTTTGTGTATTCTTTATTTATTGCTTGAATCTTGTCGTTTATTTTCTTTTTATCTCAACTCTCACACAATGCAGATCTGAAAGTGACATGTCTGAAAGTAACAGTGTTAATATCTCATCCACTAATTTTGATTATCCCGTTAATCAAGCTGTCGAAGATGATACTGATGTTGATTTACCCTCAGAACTTCTAAGATTGGTTGATCAAGAAGTGAAAGAGATTTGATAAGTCTGTAATTAGGCCCTCTTTTACAGCCCATATATTCATATTTGACATTTATTTTATTTGAAATTTACACTAATTTATATATTAATTATGCAGTTTGGTATAAAGAGGCCGCAAGTGGATTTTGGGTGCATTCTGGGCCCAAATTGATGGAAGATTAGAGCTTCGCAGCAGTCAGCACGCCTAGACCCATTCAATAAGCACGGGGGTGCTTTAAGCCCATGCACAGTCGTGCTTAAGGCCTTGCACGGCCGTGATCATCTACGGGAAGTCCAATTATGAAGAGTTTTTAGGGTTTTCAAACCCTATTAAAAGGAAGACCTGAGGCACCATTAGGGACACCGTTTTGACATCTTAGCTTTGACTCTAGAATACATTTGATCTCGTCTCTCTTGCACGGGATCCTTGGCACATGCTTGGCGAGACTTGAAACTTTAAGCGATCTTACTTGAAGACAGAGAATACATCTCACACTCTAGTTTGCTATTTCTTTTGATTATGGCTTTGTTTATGATTGTTTTAGTTCTTTTCTTTAGCATGAGTAACTAAGTCCATAGCTACGGCTATGGGAACTATTGTTCATGAATTTATGGAATTTTGATATTTGAATTTAAATTTGATTTCCGTTTTGTGATTAGATTTTATCCTATTACGCTTTTTTCTTAATCCTAATTAATTATATCGTCAGGCAACCGTACCTCGGTTAATTAATAGATCTATAGGGTAAAACGAGACAAAGAATTAGGTGGACCAAACCAAGCTTTCTCTTCTAATCGTTATTAAATTAACAAGTTCATCGGTTCCTTAAGCTTTCTCAAATTAATGTCTTGCATGACCATTGGGGATATTAATTTAGAGAAAATAATATTAATATTGCATGACCATTAGGTATTAATAATATTCGTATCAATGATTGGTAATCTTAAGGAAATCGGATTTAGAGTTAAATAGAAAAATAACATAAAGAATTGAATGAGAAAACCCATATGCCCTAGGTTCCTCTCCAATAAGTTTAACCAAGATGTGCATTGTATTCCTTACTCTTAGTTTTATAAATTCTTGTTTTTAATTAATCTCGTATCTTTGAAGCTTAAACAATTGAATTAGGAAATTCTTAGTAATTAGAAATCAATCCTTGTGGGACGATATTTCGGGAACTTAAGTTAAGAACCCTTTATTATTTCTCGATCGGTACACTTGCCCTCCAAACAAGATTCAACTTCATGATGAACCCACTGAGACGATTAATTTAGGGACTGAAAATGATAAGAGAGAAATCAAAATAGGCACCTCCATGAAAAAACAAGAGCGCTACAAGTTGATTAAACTCTTGTATGATTATAGTGATGTCTTTGCATGGTCTTATCAAGATATGTCATGCCTAGATGTGGATATAGTTGAGCATAAATTGCCACTGAAGCTAGAGTGTTTCCCAGTTAAGCAAAAATTAAGGAGAATGAAACTTGAGATATTATTGAAGATTAGGGAGGAGGTCAAGAAGCAATTTGATGCAAGTTTTCTTATTGTTGCTAAATACCCTCAATGGGTTGCTAACATTGTGCCAGTTCCTAAGAAAGATGGAAAGGTTCGGATGTGTGTTGACTATCGGGATCTAAATAGAACCAACCCTAAAGATGATTTTCCATTGCCTCACATTGATATGCTAGTAGATAATACAGCTCAACATTCATTCTTCTCTTTTATGGATGGTTACTCGGGTTATAATCAAATCAAAATGGCTGAAGAGGATATGGAAAAGACCACATTCATTACACCTTGGGGTACCTTTTGCTGTAAGGTCATGCTTTTCAGTTTGAAAAATGCTGGGGCAACATATCAAAGGGTGATAGTGATGTTATTTCATGATATGATGCACAAGGAGGTTGAAGTTTACGTGGATGATATGATTGCCAAATCAATGACTGAAGAAGACCATGTTGTAAATTTACACAAATTGTTTGAGCGGTTGAGGAAATTCAAATTGCGGTTGAACCCTGCCAAATGTACCTTTGGGGTGAAATCAGGCAAGTTGTTGGGGTTCATAGTCAGTCAAAAGGGAATAGAGGTTGATCCTGACAAGGCAAAAACAATCATGGAAATGCTGCCTCCTCGCACTGAAAAGGAGGTTCACGAATTTTTGGGGAGACTGAATTATATTGCTTGACTCATATGCCAACTAACTGCCATTTGTGAACCAATTTTAAGTTGCTACGAAAAAATCAGCCAATGGAATGGAATGGAGATTGTCAAGAAGCTATTGAGAAGATACAAAATCCTCCGATACTAGTGCCGCCAGTGCCAGAGAGACCGCTTATTATGTATTTGACAGTGTTAGGAGGATCTATGGGATGTGTTTTAGATCAACATGATGAATCGGGTCAGAAAGAGCACGCCATTTATTACTTGAGCAAAAAATTCACTGATTATGAAACTAGATACTCTTTGTTAGAGTGAACCTGTTATGCCTTAGCTTGGGCAACTCGCAGGTTAAGGCAATACATGTTGAGTCACGCAACTTGGTTGGTGACAAAAATGGATCCAATCAAATACATCTTTGAGAACCAGCCCTTACTAGAAGGATTTCTCATTGGCAGGTCCTCTTGTCAGAATATGATATTATGTATGTTACCCAAAAAGCAATCAAAGGCATTGCTCTCGCAGATTTCCTAGCTCATCAACTGATGAATGATTATCAGTCAATACAGTACGAATTTCCTAATGAAAATATAATGGCATTGTTTAATGAGAAAGAATTTTCAACAAAAGATGAATGGGTCATGATATTTGATAGTGCTTCTAATGCACTCGGACATAGGATTGGTGCTATACTGATTTCCTCAGAGAAGCAATATATCCTGATCAAAGCTAGATCATCATTCGATTGTACAAATAATATAGCTGAATATGAAGCATGTGCTATAAGAATTCAAGCAGCTATAGAGTCCAAGATCAAAATTCTCGAGGTGTGTGGTGACTCAGCTTTGGTTATCCACGAACTGAAAGGTGAATGGGAGACTCGCGATGCCAAATTGATCCCTTATCAAGCCTATATTAGAGAGTTGGTGGAGTATTTTGATGAAATTACTTTCCATTATATTCCTCGTGAGGAGAATCAATTGGGTGATGCTTTAGCCACTTTATCATCAATGTTTGTAGTGAGTTAAAAAGAAGACATGTCGTTCATAAAGATGCAACAGCTTGATCATCTTGCCTATTGTCAAATGGTTGAAGAAGAATCTAATGGTAAACCTTGGTATCATGACATTAAAAATTTCCTAAAACAACAAGAATACCCATTAAATGCTGTTGAAAATGACAAAAGGACATTAAGGAGGTTAGCAGTGAGTTTCTTTCTGAATGGAGATGTGCTCTACAAAAGGAATCATGATATGGTTCTGCTTAGATGTGTGAATGCTTCAGAAGCACGAAAGATCATGGAAGAGATTCATGAAGGTTCAGTTGGGACTCATGCCAATGGACATGCCATGGCAATGAAGATTCTAAGGGTTGGATATTATTGGTTGAAAATTGATAACCACGTCGCAATGGTATCAAACAAGCTAGATTTTCTCAAAAATTTGTGCAATACAAGAAGCAAACCTAGGTCATCTCTCAAGGACATAAAATGCATTTTATTTTTAGTTCCATCATGCAATTTCAAATTAGATTGGGGGAGGATTTGTTTTGAATTTAAACGACAAAATAACAAAAATGAAAATTAAGGATTATGAAATTCAACCAATTCAAGATCTCAATCCTTACAATGCAATTCTCGTCGTTCACACAAATATGATCCCAACGAATTTCCAATCACACTAATTCAATGCGCATCAACAACCCTAAAATCTAAATCTAGATTATGAATTCCATCAAAACAAGAACCGCAATCGCAAACCCAATGCTTTAACAAAATTTAGAACAATTGATTGATTAAATTAGGTGAATCCAATTAATTCAAATCTGAAATTAACCTATTCTTTCTATTTAGGATGCAACAAAAATTCTATATCATGAAAAACGTAATTAACCTAATTAGAAAAGAGGAAGGAAAGGAGGAATTCGATAAAACCTATTTTGAAACTCGAATGCAATGTAGTTTTTGAAACCTTGAACCGGTTGATGAATTAGCCTTGCTTCATAATCATGTTGCTCGACCAATTAGAGAAGGGGATGAAGTTTCCGAAAATAAAAGAGAGGGAGACGAGAGGAATCCTTACGAAAGCTTTTTATTTAAAATTCTGAAAATTAAGGCAAAAAAGAGGGAAGAATATCCCCACGCGAAATCATAAACCCTATTTAAAGACAAAATAATTGGGCTTAATTAAGGCCCAGCTTCCTAACGAGGTTCCTAAAACCCTAATTAAGTAATGTCAACAATAAAACCAAATTCTGAAAAATTCATTGCAGGACCGTAACATTGTGACACAGTTTTAGGCCTGAAGATGTTCGAACTGGGCTTTTCTTGCAACAGAGAAGTTGTAGATCTCTCTCTTATCTTTCTAGGGACACCAATTTTGTCCAATTCTGAGTAGTGTAGCTCCAGATATGGTCTTTTCAAGAAACTGTGTCAAAATAAGAATTTATGGCGGAAATTAAGAAAGATTTAATTTTAAATCCTAAATGACTTACCAACACAAATCTAAACTAACACATCAAAATAATATACTAAAAAGACTCAATTAAATCGAAAACATAGAGAGAAAGATGTATTAAAATATGACTATCAACAATGGAGGCCGATTGCTTTCATTATGTGAAGACATGTCATAAATGCCAGACATATACTGACAATATTAATGTTCCCTCAACAAATTTGAATGTCTTATCATCACCCTGGCCTTTAATGTAGGGAATTAATGTTATTGGACCCATTGAACCTAAGGCCTCTAATGGTCACCGCTTCATTCTAGTTGCTATTGACTATTTCACAAAATGGGTTGACGCTGCTTCATATGCTAGTGTGACCTAAAATGTGGTGGTGAGATTCATTAAAAAGGATTTGATCTGTCGATATGGCCTTCCAAGCAAGTTGATAACAGACAATGGCACTAATTTAAACAACAAAATGATGAAAGAATTGTGTGACAATTCCAAGATTCGACATTATAATTCCTCTCCCTATTGCCCAAAGATGAATGGAGCAGTCGAAGCAGCCAATAAAAATATTAAGAAGATCATCCAAAAGATGGTAGTGATGTACAGAGATTGGCATGAAATGTTGTCATTTGCCTTGCATGGATACCGAACTTCAGTTCGTACTTCAATTGGGGCAACTCCCTACTCTTTGGTATATGGAATGGAAGCAGTACTTCCAATTGAGGTTGAAATTCCCTCTTTAAGAGTAATAATGGAGACCAAATTGGAGGAAACAGAATGGGTGCAAGCTCATTTTCATCAATTGAATCTCATTGAAGGAAAATGATTGAATGCGTTAACGATCAACTATACCAGAGAAGGATGAAGAAAGTTTTTGATAAAAAGGTTTGACCAAGAGAATTCAGTGAGGGAGATATGGTGCTCAAAAAGATTTTGCCAACGCATAAAGATTATCGTGGCAAGTGGTCTCCGAATTATGAAGGACCATATGTTGTGAAAAAGGCTTTCTCAGGAGGAGCTCTAATCCTCACAAACATGGATGGACAAGATCTTCCAAACCCCATCAATTCTGATGCTGTCAAAAAATACTATGCTTAAAAAAAAAAAAAGCTCGCTAGGTTGACAACCTGAAAGGATGACCTAGGGAAAAGTTAGAACGACCTGGTGAGTTGAAAGCTCGAAAGAGCGGCTCAGGCAAAAATTAAGGTCAAATAAATACTACACTGAACTAAAAACCTGAAAGGGCAGTTTAGAAGGTGCAATCACTTCAGTTACAAGAAAGCGGTTCAAGTTGGAAAATATGATGGACTAGAATACTAAATTGGGGCAATTTTGAGAGGTTGAGTTGAATCAAACGGAAGATGAATTCAAAATACCACACTGGGGCAATTTTATTTGGCAATTTTGTTAATGGATGATCAACTTACATGGAAGATTAGCACTGTTCATCTGGAAGATGTAACGCCCCAAATTTTTGTTAGTTGGCTATTAGCTCTTGAATTTTAATTATTTGCTGATTCTGACTTGCTAGTGTCGGAATAATTAGATAGATGCTGAATTTTCTATTTTTATTCACTGAGGAAAATAGTGACTTGATCTCTAAGTTTTGCAAAATTTCCCTGATTATTTTCAACTTAATTACCCAAAAATACCCTTGAGAATCTTGCTCAAAAAACTATATTTTGTCTTATTTAAATTATTGAAAAATCATAATTATCATTCTCGAAAAATGTAAGATTTTGTAATCATTACGAAATATTCTATATTTACTTCAAAAGATTTTGTAATCATTACGAAATATTCTATATTTATTTCAAAAGATTTTGTAATCACTGTAAAAGAAATTTTGTAATCATTACGAAATATTCTATATTTATTTCAAAAAGATTTTGTAATCACTGCAAAAAGATTTTGTAATCATTACGAAATATTCCATATTTATTTCAAAAGATTTTGTAATTACTGCAAAATGATTTTTTAATCATTACATAGATTTTGTAATCATTTCAAAATATTCTATAATCATTTCAAAAGATTTTATATTTATTTCAAAAGATTTTATAATCATTTCTAAAGATTTTGTAATCATTACTTAGTTCTGTAATCATTACTTCAAATCTTTACAAATCTAGTATCGGCCACTAGATTTTCATGCAAAATATTCTTATCCCCTAAAGTGAAAACACCATGATTACCTGAATCTTCCAAAATCTAGTACTGACCACTAGAATTATAAGCAAGAGATTCTTGTCTCCCGATTCGCCGGCAAAGTCATTTCAGAACTTTCTTTTCATGTCTTCCAAATTGCAGACACCATAATTACCTTAATTAATTGTCTTTGTTGAAATTAGCATCACATCAAATGTCTCGTCCACATGTCAACCTAGTCATGTCGCATTCTTTTCCGGCCAATCAAATTACATGCATTTGCTGCCCAAAATCTTAACCTTGGAGTTTTGTACCGATTTTTGGAAATTGCCCCACCAAAACCGTGTGCATGAAGCCCTAAATTATTCCATGCATCTTGCTTGCCAAAATGTACTAACTTTTCTTGCAAGTTTCCCTAAAATTCACTACTCCTATACTAAAAACCGTGACACCCTTTTCTTGCACCATTTGTATCATATTCACTTCAATTTTGCACCAATTAAGCCTTGTGCAGTTTTTCAACTTTGGAACCTTGCCAAGTAAGCCAAATCATAAGTGTTTTGTGGCAATTGGCCATTAGAACCATTAACCCTCCATATAAATAGACTTACCAAATTCAATTGCTCATTTTAGAAGCCAAAAATCGTGACCCTCATTTCTCTTTCTCTCACTTTACTTCATCATTTCCTATTCTCTCAAAGTCTCAAATTCTCTCAAGAAAATCGAGAGCTTCCAGCCCCTCAAACACCACAATTTCTTCATCCAAATCACTCAAACACTTCACCCTTCCATCACTAACTTCTTCCTCCATCATCCCTCCAATTTTCGTGTTGAAAAAACTCACCTAGGAGGAAGAACTTGAAGATCTTGGTTGCTGTTTTACGGTCCAGCAAGCTTTCTTTGGAGATCCACAAATTCCAGCTCTTCCTTCTTCAATTTCTCGCCCAAAAACTCAAAGGCAAGGGGGAGTTCTCATCCTTTACTCCTTTGTTTGCTTTCCTTGGTTGAAAACTATGTAAAATCTTGTAAAGGTTCCATCTTTATCTCCAATAACTTTGAACAAGCTCATTGTACCATTTGCATGTTAAATTCTACTTGATTTCTTCACTTTATTTACCTCTAAGTTTACGGTTTATGTGAAAAGGAGGTAATCTCTCTAAAAGCTTGCATTTTGAACATTTGCATGTTGTATACTCTTTGTGAATGTCTCGGCTTTTCATTTCTTTGGATGAGTTTGTTGTTCCAATGATAATCCACCCTTGATATCAAGTAACCATGAGTTTGGAAGACAATTTCCTTCATTTGCATGTTGAGTATTTGTCTTGTACTCCATTTAATCTCTTTGAAATTTTCAGTTTCATGCTTAGATCTGTTGATTTCTCTCAAAGCTTGGAACTTTATTAAGTGCTTGCAATTTCTT